TAGAAAAAACAGAAATGTTGTTCTTTGTGGAAGTCATTGATGAAATTCTATGTATTTTAGCCCGCAAACTTTCTTCAAACAAAAACAACGCCATCTAGTATCGAGTTCTGTAATTATCTCTTTGTTTATGGATTTGAAGTAAGACCGCCACGCATGCAATACATTATGACTGGGGATTCCCCTATTCGTCGACGCTGAATATGAGGCGACGACAATCACTGTCAAACGTGTTCACTATTACTCTGACTCTGGTAACGTGACTTCCTGGTAACGTGTTAGGTAGGAAAAGCAGTAAAAAAGTGCATATTAAGGGAGCAGATTTGAAATAATATTTATACTTAACAAGAAATAATTAAAGGTAAGTGGATTTTTGAATGATACAATTATATCATGATCACTTAACAATTTTAACTTAAAATTAGATGTATTATTACAAGCTTTTATTTAGCTTGCGTTATGTAAATAAAAGTATGTAGGTATGTTCGTATGTTGATGCAATTATCCTCAATCCTCAACCGACTGGGATAAAATTTTCCATACACGTTTATTTTGGATGATAGTGCATAGTTAGCTGAGAGTCGTCATTGGATAATAATGGTGGATAGCCTAAGATGTGTACTAGATATTTATTTTTAACATAATATGCGTAAGTACCTAATCGAATTAAAGAAGTTGCTGAGAAAAATACAGAACAATACGATAATAAACTAGCGTCTGCGTTTAATCCTCCGAGGAGATGTAATTTTACAAAGGTTTTTTGTATTTATTTTATTATTTTTTTAATAAATTTATTGTAAATAACAAGAAATAATCATTGTAAAAAAATAGGCACTCTATTGTTGAATTTTCGTCAGACCAACTAATCATCGTTCATTTTTTTAGGTTCAATGGGGAGACCTAAAGATTTACGCATATGGGAGCACTACCGTACTTTACCACACAAGTCTGTTTCTTGCAAGCTTTGTAATAAGGTCTACAAATTCAGTAATGCTGCCAAAATGCTTCAACATCTTATCACTTGTCCAAAATCTCCAGAAACATTAAAAGACTCTATGAAACTTATAAAAGATAGCTCGTCCAAAACCAAAATGTCTGGACTGTCAGAGATAGAGACAAATGATTCTTTTATAAGCCCCTCGTCGTCTGCTAACACTACAATAAATGCTGAGTTTCAAGACACCGATGATCATATAAAAACAGAATTAGCGAGAGCTATATTTGTAACAGGGACGCCATTATCGATGGTGCAACATCCTTTATGGATACAATTTTTCGAAAAATTGCAACCAAAATTTAAAATACCTTCACGTAAAGCTTTAGCGACAAAATACTTAGATAAAATATATAGAGAAATGCGTTTTGAGTTAAATGAGGAACTAAATGCTTGTAGTTACTTACACCTTCAGTGCGATGGCTGGTCTAATTTAAGAAATGAAGGAATAATAAACTTTCTTATATCAAAACCTCAACCTGCATACGTTAAAAGTTTGAATACAGAAAGTAATCCTCACACTAGTGAATACCTTAGCCAAGAAGTTGAAAAAGTAACGAAAGTGTATGGAGCAAATAAGTTTCTTGTACTTATTGGCGATAACGCTAGAAATATACAAAAGGCATTCGAATTAACAAAACTCAAATATCCACATGTTGTTCCTCTCGGTTGCTGTGCACATATCCTTAACTTGTTGTGCCAAGATATTGTAAAGATACAAGAAGTAACTGTGTTTATTATGCAAGCCATAAATATAATAAAAACTGTTAAAAGGAGTCAACGATTAAGTTCCTTGTTGATAAAATCAAGGCAGGGTGAAGATTCTACACAAACACTAAAATTGCCTTGTGCTACAAGATGGGGAAGTCATGTTACTTCGTTAAAAAGTTTGAAAGCAAATAAGATAGCTTTGCAAATATTAACAGTTAGAGAAGATGTGGTAATTTCAAGAGATATTAAAGATTTAATTCTAAGTGATGATTTCTGGACGAAGACAGGGGAATGTATAAGTATTTTGGAACCAGTCACTGAAAGCATATTTTACTTAGAGAGCGACCAGAATCGTTTGCATCGCACATACATTACATTTAGAGATGTACAAGCTAAGATACGTTTTGCATTAAATGAGATTTCGACATTGAGCGAAGAAAGCAAACAGCAGATTCTAACATCAGTATCTTCAAGATGCAATATGGCAATGAGGCCAATACATTTTGCAGCATATATTCTAGACCCCAGGACTCTAGGAGTCGAACTTACTCAAGAGGAAGAACTTAAGGGTATGGAGTTTATCTACAATTTAAGCCAACACTTAAGTTTGTCAAATGTAATGGCAGATTTGGCGTGTTATAAAGCTAAAGAAAACTTTTGGGCCAGAGGATTTGTATGGAGCTCATTAGATAGCATTGAGCCCCTAATATGGTGGAAAGGTATTTGTGGTTCCACTGAGTTAAGCAAAGTAGCGATTCGTATTCTATCAGCTCCCTGTACTTCGGCAGCCACTGAGCGTTCCTTTAGTATCCAAGGCTACATACATAATAACAAAAGAAATCGACTTACAACTGAAAGAACTGAAAAAATTTCATTCATTTGTTATAACTGGAATCTTAAACATAAAGCTGAATGCGAGGACATTCAGTTTAATGAAGAAAATACCTTAGAAGCTTTCATTGAGCAAGTAAATGAACATAACAGTTTAGACGAAATAGAGCCTATCGAACCTATACAATTCATCGCTTGTAATAACTCTGAATCTGACAGTGATTGACTGTAGTTTTACATTTTACTTTCATCTCTTTCTTAATAAACTCAAAATCAAATTAAAAGTTTTTTATTCTGTAGGCTGCATAATAATATTGTCTATGTCCAGTATAGTGGACGTCTTGCGGCTGAGATGACGATGATGAAGTACAAAATCATAAACACCCAAAAATTTGGGTGTTTATGGGGTTTAAACCCAATAAACCCAAAACACCCGGTTTTTACCCACCAGACTTTAAACCCACCCAGGTGGATTGCCCATCTCTAGTGCCCACCGTTATGGCATCACCTCACATCTGTAGATGGCCAACTTAGATTCACCGATAATTATGCGCCGTGTACCATAGAGGTGGGCTAGTATGGATATGACATAGCTTGTTTTTTTTTTTTTACCCAAAAAAGAAAGGCATGATCTTAAGTCGACACGTTTATTTATTTTTTAAACTTATCATCCATATAAGCCATTGACTGTCCATTGCTGAACATAGGCTCCCCCCTGGAAGAGGTTGTTAATAGTTGCCACGCTTGGCGGACAGGTTGGCAACGGCATTTAGTCATTAGGGGACGCTGCTGCCTAACACTCGTCTATTAAGTTCCCTTAGTCGCCTCTTACGACACCCACGGGAAAAGAAGCGGTGATCCATTGAAAGTTGGGACCACATGGCAATTTTTTAAGTAACTAATTAACGCTTAATTATAATTGAAAAAAAAAAACTTAAAAAAGTTGGAGATTCTCAATTCAGTTGTATTTATTTTAAGTTTGTTATCATAACTCCGTCAGTTGGAAAATTTATTTTTTATCTGAAATAATTTTCTGACAATTTTGTCATGTAGAAATATTATAAAATCGGTTCATTAGTTGAATATTTAAACCAAAGTAACTGGTTTAGTGTCAATTGAAGTTGGATTTGTTTGTGAAACACAATCTTAAATTACTTATTTGTGAGGAAACGTCTTCGGTAGCGGTCCGGTCTTTAGAATATTTTAAACTATGGTTGAAACTTTGTACACATTTTTACACACACATTTTTAATTTTTTTATTGGTAAAATAAATCAAGGTGATCATAATTCATATGCAAAATTAAAGGAAAAATGGTTAAAAAAATAAATTTGACAGCTATCTTTTTTTTTCAGCAATGGACATTAAAAAGGTATCCAGATACGAGCGACTTAAATTAAATTAAGATGGAAATTTACACCATTTATGCAAAGAAGGGTTAAATTCTTAAAATTTCGTGAGGCCGTGGCATGTTATCGTAGACTGTCTGTACACGAGTGTGCACATAGATACCGCATCCACGTAATCATTAATATTCTAAGCTCCACCGTCGCCATTCAATCCTATATTTAAATGTTCAATTACATAACTCCACCAAACTGAGACATAATGCTTTAATAAAAGTAAGAATCGAGCGCTGACACTGTGAATTTGTGTAGAAATTGATGTACAAGTATATACACGATTCGATTCATCTTGGTACAGTCAGCTCCATATAAAGGTGTTTTATTTTTATTTTTAATGGGTGATAATGAAATGGTAACACCATCCGCGCTATTGGTATACACCGGCGAGACACTAGTGAAGGAGGAAAGGTGAAGCGGGTCAGTTAGCCCATCGTGACGAATTCAACAAGAATTGTTCACGATGGTTTCCAGGGGGAACCGCGTGGAGCTCGTCCTAACATGACATATCGCTAGTAATGGGGCTGTCAAACTCCATTGCTAACAATTCCTTCCCCCCCCCCCCCAACTGTATTACTTTAGGTGTATGATATATGAGATTCGATAGAGATTCTGATTGGCTAGTCCACCGCGTGATATATTTACGGCGCTGACTGTACGGTCGATTGATTAGTGAGTTTCCTAACTTGTTGATTATACAACGTGTAAGATTTATCGATTGTTTATCTATAAATGTTCTGTCCACGTGACAGACATTTGATAAGTGCCTGGGTATGCAATCATTGTATAAAGGTCACAGCAGTACGGTGAATATGTAAAAGAAGTTGCAAAGGTCATAGCAGTACGGTAAAACATGTAACAATATGTAAAACAAGTTGCAACAAAATTAAGAATTTCTGTTATATTTAAATAGATCAAATCAAATCAAATCAAATCATTTATTGCACGAATATGGGTCCATACATTAGTTGAAAAAAATAATTACATGTCCATTATTCCATATTCTACCATATCGGCATGTACAATCTAAAATTATAGTAATAATAACTTATAATAATAAAAATAATGTCAATAATAATAATAAAATGTAAAAAATGTCAATAAAAATAATTAAATTGCATGTCTAATATTTATCACTGTAGTAGTCATGCAACGTATAGTAACATTTGGCTGTCAAATATTCTTTTGCTTTTTTCTTAAATACATTTAAACTGTTTATTTCCTTAAATGCTTTCGGGAATTTATTATATATTTTAGAGACCATACCGAAAAAACTTTTATCAAATAATGCTGTGACGTGAGGCTGAACGCGAATTTTATCGGTATTACGGTCACTTTTTAACTTTTCAAATAAAAGTTTATTCTTTTTCACAAACAACATTGTTTCAAGAATATAAAGGCTTGGAAAAGTCAGGATATTCAGTCTTTTGAATGAAGTCGTACATGTATCAGTTCTTTTCAAATTGCACATAGATCTAATACACCTTTTCTGAGTCTTGAAGACTATATCTCTATATGTCGAATTGCCCCAAAATATGACACCATACCTTAGTAAGGATTCAACATATGCATGATATGCAGTCAATACCGCTGTCTGATTAACAATCTTAGACAACATGCGTAATGCGTATGAAAATTGGTTTATTTTGCTATTAATATTTTCTATATGATGTTTCCATGTCAGGTTATTATCAATCGTTAATCCCAAAAATTTCGTAATTTTCACTTCATTTATTTTTTTTCCATTAAAATCGATATTAAAAGATGTCAAATTATTTTGACGATTACTAAAATTCATAAAATGTGTTTTATCTAAGTTTATCTTTAAATTATTTTCCTTTAGCCAGTCTATTAATATTTTTATTGTATTGTTAATATTTATTTCAAGTTCATTCGAATTCTCATCACTACATATTACGGTACTATCATCTGCAAATAATATCATAGGGTTAGTAGTTATATTTGGGATATCATTTATATATATCAGAAACAATAATGGGCCCAAAATACTTCCTTGTGGTACGCCATATTTTACTTCTTTGAAGTCTGATATAAAATTAATTTCAACTTTTGATTTTGGACATATTCTGTTGATTTGCGTTGCTTGCGTTCTACCACTTAGGTATGACTTAATGAAATCTAATGAAATCCCTCTGATACCATATGTGTGTAATTTCTCAATTAAGGTCGCATGATCTACATGGTCAAATGCTTTTGAGAGGTCCATATATAAAGCACAGACGGGTTTCCTATTATCAACGTGGTCTACAATTTTTTTCAAAAATTTATATATAGCCAAATTTATATTTTTATTCTTTCTAAATCCAACTTGTTCCTCTACCAATAAATTATATTTTTCTAGAAAATTATAAAGAGCTTTATAAATTACCTTTTCAATTATTTTAGAAAATATAGGTATAAGTGCTACTGGCCTATACGATGACATACATTCGCGATCTGCTTTTTTATATAGAGGTTTTATAATACTTATTTTTAATTTATCGGGAAAAATTCCATTTTCAATACATAAGTTTATAATATAGCTCAAAATTGGTGCTATCTGAGTAGCTACTTCTTTTACAATTTTTGTTGTAATATCATCGTAACCAGTGCTATTAGTGTCTTTTAAAGATCTTATTATTGTCAAAATTTCATCTGGATTTGTAGGTCTTATGAATAAGGAACTTACATTATTCGATGTCATATTTCTTGCTTTGAAATTATCATGCGGTTTAACTTGCTCAATAAAAAAATTATTAAATAATTCCGCTATTCTATTAGGATCAGTTATTTTTTTGTGATCGTTGTTAATTTGTGTTATATAATTCTTAGTTTTATTTTTATATTCATTAATTATTGTCCAGGTGGCCTTCGTTTTGTTTTTAGATGTCTTAATAAAGTAATTGTTTTGTGCTTTTTTTGTTAATTTCATTATATTTTTTAGTCTACTTGAATAGGTTTTGAAGCACTTTTTATTGAGAAGATTTGGATCTTTTCTGTATTTCCAAAGCAGTTTTCTTTTCTGTCTAGAGCATTTTATAATACCCTTTGTAATCCATTTAGGTCGTTGATAAGAACGCATTCTGATTCTCATCAATGGGAAACACATGTCATAAAATAACTTAAATTCATCAAAAAAACTATTAAATGCAGTATTTGGATTGTTAGTATTATATACGTCTTTGAAATGGATGGCCATTAGACAATGCTTAAATTTTTCTATATTTTCTTTACTATAATCACGCTTCATTATAAACCAATATGGGTTACCAAACTTCTCTGAGACCGGACACATCAATAATTGCGCTGTGTGGTCTGAGAGAGCCAATTCAAGTATTCGAGTTTTACAGTCTTTCATATTATGTCCAAAATTATCAATACATGTACCACTACATAGACGCGTTGGATCGTTGATTGCTAACTTTAAGTTGAATCCTTGTAATAACTGTTTAAATTCGAAAGAATATTTATCGGCTTTCAACATGTCAATATTAAAGTCTCCACATAACACTATCTTTCTTTTTTTGAAGCAATACATGCTTAATAAATTGTTTAAAGTTTCAAAGAAAGTTTCATAAGATTCCTGGGTCACTTTTGGAGGTCTGTAAATGCATATAATTAAAATATTATAATCTGTCAATTCCATCCCTGTACATTCGATAATATTACTGATACTTAAGCTCTCTATTTCATTCATAACCTTGTATCTGTGATTCTTACGTACCAAGATACACGATCCGCCATGTCTGTTACCTCTAGAATAGTGAGTGACTAATGTATAATTGGGTATTTTTAATAGGCTTGTATCACTTTTCATCATATTGTGTTCAGTTATACAAATTACGTCAATTGCTTCATTTTTGTTCTCTAAATTATGTAACTCTACAGATAGACAATCTGACTTTCCCAATAAGCCATTTATATTTTGATGTAATATGTTAATATGATTAGGTGCGAAAATTATTGTTTGTAGTAGTATAATTGTTATTCTGATTGGCGTCCATATTAATACGAGAATATTCTTTAACCTCACAGGCATTGAAATGGTTCGCTTCGGTTTGTGTATACTTATCACTAGTTGTTGATTGTTTATTTAATAATTTAAGTCGGTAATTAATTAAATTTGTTTTGTATTCGATTTGTAAAATATCTTTTAATAAAGTCCTACTCACAAATAATGAAATGCTTGCCCTGTAAAGCCGTTGTCGAGAATAGTTCATGTCAATATACGTTACATTTTCATATTTACCACATATAAATTTCTATTCATTATTAAGTTTTTTCTCATTTAGAACGTGATTAAAAGGTACTTCAGAGATTAATACATTAGTATTAGATACAGTTTCTAGCCAAATATTTATACGTAATCGAAATTCATACGGGTTCACATCATTCGTACCTCCTAAGACAATAACAAAGTCATTACGATTTAATTTTTTGATCAAGTTTGTCTCTGTATCAAGAACATTTTTAATTTTAGCCCCTGGTTTCCAAAAACAGGACACACTATAGTTGGAACCCAATAGTTTTTGAAGATGACTCTGCAAGTACCTTCCTTGCTGGTCTGCTATTATGATAACGTGGCGCTTCTTCAAATCTTCTCGCTCATTAACTATATTGCTGCCAGAGCCAGCGATGACAAAGTCCAAAGCGGCGGTTATCGGAGGACATGTATTATTTATACTGGAATTTGGTTTATTGGTTTCGTCAGTTAAGTCGATATCGATTTGTGATTTTCGCGTTTCATGTTTTACTGGACTCTGTTTCTGATCGATAAACGGTGTGTCTGTAAGCGTCTTTCGTTGGTTTGGAGTGGATAAACTTGAAGTCCTTACACGTTTATGTTTTCGTTTCCTCAGTGGTGTCAAATATTTAGTGTTGGATACCTGTTTTCCAGAACTTAAGTTATCGTTGCTATAGAAACCTACCCTCTTGTACATTTCAATAATTTTCTGACACTTTTCCAGCTCAGATTGAAGATGTCTATTTTCACTGTTTAAATTTTCTATTTCTAGGTTAGCGCTGCTTAAGTCCATTCTAAGTTTATAATTTTTTTCCTGTATCTCAGCCATTGTCAGCGAGTCATTAAATGATGTATTTGGTAAACTCACAGCCGTTGTTTCAAATAATGAAGATTCATTACTGGAAATATCATTTAATGAATTTTGTTTAAATTGTTTTCTAACGGTTACATTTTCATTTTCCATTCTTAAGTGTTTTTATTATTAGCACAATATAAAATATTCCCTACTGAAACTCAAGATAAATAGCAGAGAGGTAGTGTATATCAACGCAGAGAAAAAGTGTGCATTTATGATGCAAACAGTTTATTCTGTATTTATAGTCACTCTTAATAAATTATTGGTCTCATTAATCACCATACATTGTTCTTAGCCCTTTACCAAATTAGGACTGCGTAATTATCTTGTATAAATAATATTCATTCTTCCCTTAACCCTTTCAGAATTAAGATGTCGCTGAATATAACAAGTTGAATTTTGTTACGAGTATACAAAGTCCAAAGTCCAACTTTGAGTTTTTTAAACAAAATTTGTAGGTAGTCTGTTAACTTTATAAATTTAAAAATAACCACTATTCTACATGAAAAATATTTAAAATGTATATAGATTTGTGTTCGTCACTATTAAAAGAATGTACTCATATAAACAAAATTTACAAGAATTAGTTATTTCCTCACAGTTTCTGCACAAATATAAAACGTAAAATTTTCATTGAATTATCAACATTAACTTTCAACCAACACTATCACGTGATACTTATACTATTATTTATCTATTTTTAATAAATTTAGTTCTAAATGTTTTCTTTATGAATATTAAAAAAATATTTTTCCTAGAGACAATGTGTAATGTACCGCGCCACCGAGCGAAACTAGGCGTTATCTACTACTAGATAGATAGATACTCTTTATTGTTTCCTCCATAAGATTGCAATAGTAAATTTAATATTAATATAAATAATTACAAGAAAATATTACACTAAGAAAACAATGGGCGACCTTATCGCTCAGAGCGATCTCTTGCAGGCAACCTTTGGATGGTGAGGAGTAATTATAAACAGTTTGATAGGAGGCACGAAAGTCTGTTCGTTTTTTAAATACATAAAATCTGACTACGGTTGCCAATCCACCTACCAAGCGTGGCAACCCTCCCCCCCCCCGCCCTTCACCCGTCCAAGGAATGTTCAGCAGTGGACAGTTAAAGGCTGATATGATGATGACGATGATTATATACGTATATTAGTACATATACGTATATTTTGCATGATATATATATATATATATATATATATATATATATATATATATATATATATATATATATAACTGACTTGGCTCTCTTTGAATGAGTCATCTGGCATTGCTATCTCATTCTATCTCACGGATTCGCTAACGATGTCGATTCCATCGACGAATTCGCTTCTCACTTGTCTAGAGGCCCTACTCTTTTATCTCACTTGTCATGTCTCACTGGTGCCCCGCCAGCATATACCGTTAGCGCAGACGGTTTTTTTTTAATGGGTGATAATGGAATGGTAACCCCACCCGCGCCATTGGTATACACCGGCGGGGCACCAGTGAGGGATGATAGGTGAGGATGAAGCAAGTTAGCCCATCGTGACGAATTCAACAAGAATTGTTCATGATCGTTTCCAGAGGGAACGAATCGACCTGATAGAGCATATTGCTAGCAATGTCGAGCTCCATTGCTAACAATCCCTTCCCCCCCGCGCTGACGGGGTTACCATACCATTATCATGCATTATACAATACGATAACCCGTATAGACTTGACAATTGTTATTGATATGTGTTATCAATTCAACAGCTCTGTAATCGTGGTGGCGGTCGTTTGGACACATTTGTCACTCGTTCTGCGAGGAGTACACAATGCCGTGCCTCAAGATTTTAACTAATATCCCAAAGAGCAGGATACCTGCCGATTTTGTCGACAAAATCCTACCACTGCTGTCGAGGGTGGTGAACAAGCCTGTCGATGTGAGTACCACAGTATTGCTGAGCATTTACTCGTTTTGAACGTTTTAAATTGCTGTTTCTGTTGTATTTATATTTACCAGAGAGAGACTTTGTACAAAAATCGATTGCTTGAGCACCTTTGTCCCATTCGTGTTTCTACCGTGAAGCAGTTGTGTTTGCATGGCTGTGTTTCGGTTTGAAGGGTGGGATATAGCGTGAATTTACAAGGTACAGAGGAATAACATCAAGAACGCATGGGTGCTATCGTAGACGAAACAGTATACTCTGTTATGTCTATGGTACTATAATGGTAATATGGTCCTGGTTGCAGTATGTAATTTAAATGAAAATTTTCGAAGATATTACAGATTTAAAATTCGATTGCGGCGGTACCGGCCGGGGGGCTGGCGGCGTTATTTATGAGTAGTGTCAGCATTGCACCCATGCGAAGCCGGGACGGGTCGCTAGTATTTTTTTTATTCAACTTATAATGGCAAACTAGCTGACGGTCAACCTGATGGCAACCGGTAACCGTCGCCTATAGACATGAGCAGTAGCATGGACATAACAGAGTATACTGTTTCACCCATGATACCCCCCATGCGTTGCCATTCCCGAGGACTCAGGTGTTATTCCTCTGTACCCTGTAAATTTCAACCTGTGATTGGAAATTTTAAAACATTCTAAATTTAAATTCTTTGTTCCACATTCGGTTTCTATTTTCAAGTACTTCTTAATACGTTATTTTAGTGGACAGCTGTATAAATGAAATAAACAAATATACGAATATATTTTCTTTGTCGGAATACCTAAAGATTGTGCGTCACAAAAATTTTTCGAATTCAATTATGATAGAACCAATTATTTGGGTTAAAAAGTTAAGCAATAATAAGCTAATTTTAGCAATTTAAATCTTGTCTATATTAAATTCGTGATTATTGTAACCATTGTTTCTTCTTTGTGAAGCAAAATACTGCTTATTGCGAACAATTCTGTATTCTAAATTTAAATATTTTCAATACGATTTTTTTTTTTAGTACGTTTGTTCCGTTGTGGAACAGGCTAAGGTCGGAGACCATGCTGCCTAGTCTTTAGTCAATACGATGTTTGTGTTTTGTCAAAATGACTAATTTACTGTATTTTTTTTTCTTGCGAAATGCCAAAGCCATTGATTACGGAATAGAATAGAGTGTTGCTCGTTGTGTTTACGGCATTGCTAATGCGTAAGAGAGGGATAGACATATAAAAGCGGATCTGCCTTTTGACTAGTCCGTAGAAATCAAATTCATCAAGATATGTCACTTGGTTTTATTGGCCGTATAACCCTGCCAAATTCAGATACAACTTGCTTGCATACTTTCTACATAAACTGTGTCGAATATATAATCTAGTAATGTAAAATTTGGTATTGATAAACAATTGACATATCAGTTTGAGCAAAAATTTTACATAAACATTTTCTATACACTAGCCTGCTATGAACTAAGAAAAATAGCAACTGATGGTGTATCTTTCGTTCTCTTTTTACTAATTATATTTGCATAAGAAGAAAGGAGGCAATCATATGATTTACAGTTTTTATTTTATCACTCCTTCTATGTAATTCCTTGTTCTTAGGGAAAGCCAAAAATAAAAGAAAGCCATGTTTTTTTTATGGGTGAAAATGGAATGGTAACGCCGCCTGCGCTAACGGGATACGCTGGCGGGGCACCAGTGAAGGGTGATAGATGAAAATGAAAACAGGCCAGTTAGCCCAACATGATGAATTAACCATGATAGTTTCCAGGGGGTACCGCGCGGAGACCGACCTGGCTGGGTATATTGTTAGCAATGGGATTCTTAGTCTTTATTACTAACAATCCCTTTCCCCCCAAGAAAGCCATGTTAAAGCGGCTAGTTTGAATCTGCAAATTGTACGTATCGAGCGCCTTTAAAACAAATTGTAAAGTAAACAAAATCCGCTAGAATTTTATAACCTTGGACGTCTTTGTAGCGACTTGGCAAATAAAAATAGTACATATAATCTTATGGTTACATAATGTACATATAATAGATAAGATATTCGCTTACGTTAAACGTGTTTTGTTTGGGTTTTAATATTGTCATTGCTATTTATCAAATTTAGCTATTGTAGTGAACATATTTGAAGATATAGCTCTTTTTTAAGATGATAGTTTGAAGAGTGGGATATGGCGTGAATTTACTGGGTACAGAGGAATAACACCTGAGTCCTCAGGAATGGTAACGCATGGGGGGTATCATGGGCGAAACAGTATACTCTGTTATGTCCAAGGTACTGCTCATGTCAATAGGTGACGATTACCACTTTCCATCAGGTGGGCCGTCAGATTATATATGTACTCGTAATTTACTATATTATATCACGAACACTCAGGGTATGGAATGAGCTCCCTGCCAAGGTTTTCCCAAGAGACTACAGCATGGGGTTCTTCAAAAGGGGGGTAAAGAGGTTTCTTCAGGGTCGGCAATGCGCGTGTAATGCCTCTGGTATTGCAGGCGTCTATAGGCTACGGTAACTGCTTACCATCAGTTGGGCTTGTTTGCCACCTCAATGGTATAAAAAACAAATACATAATGAAACCTACTGCAGGCACCGGTCTCTCACAAAATTGTTCACACATATTTAATTGTACCTCAAATAGTTTTTACTACCTTTTGTGAGTGAGAAAATAAACCATTAATTCATAAATTTGTATGATATTTGAAAAAAATATTGCAGAAATTCCTGTGTGTCATATCGGGAGATTGCCAAGTAACGTTCGGAGGCGAATCTACATCGCCTGGCGCAGTCGCCACCCTGGAGTCCATCGGAAACCTCGGACCTGTTGAAAACAAACTCATCGTGAAGGAAGTCTCCGCGTTTGTCGAAAGGGAATTAGGAATTTCACCAAATAGGTCAGTGTTGTAGAAATTTCATTACTTTTACCCGACTTCAAAAAAGGAGGTTCTTTTTATACAAATTAGAATGGCAAACAAGCTAACGGTCTACCTGATGGAAAGTGGTAACCGTCACCTATTGACATGAGCAGTACCATGGACATAACAGAGTATACTGTTTCGCCCATGATACCCCCCATGCATTGCCATTCCTGAGGACTCAGGTGTTATTCCTCTGTACCTTGTAGTAATCTTTTGGACGAAATAATAAAGAGTATCTATCTATCTAACTAGTGGCCCGTCCCGGCTTTGCACGGGTGGACACTTTTGCAACATTTTAAAAAGTGGTTATTGTGACATAACGATAACAGTTGGACATATAGTATTGCAAAGTTTTTTTGTAGTTATCGATATTTTCTTTAATATTGTAGAACATACCTTTGTTCTATCACCAATAGTTTCCGCAGCGCACACAACGAAAGATATTTTATAGCATTTTTTTACACCTTGAGTTACGTTACTAAAGTTTTAGTAAGGATCCCTAACCTTTTCTAGCAATAAATATAGCCTATGTTACTCAGGGTGAATGTAGCTTTCTAATGGTGAAAGAATTTTTGAAATCGGCAAATTAGTTTTTGAGTTTATTCATTACAAACATACATACACACGAAAATACAAATCTTTCCTCTTCATAATATTAGTGTAGATGTAGATAAATGAAACTTATACAAATAATAAATATATATATATATGAATTAATTTCTATTTTTCAGGTTCTTCTTATCCTTCTACGATCTCAAAGGTTACAACGTAGGAAAAGGTGGTGTTACGATTGAATAAAAAAAATGTTGCTTTATCAATATCATTTATTGCGTTATAAACAAGAATATAAGGAAATATGAAAATAAAACGAACAGATTCTCGTCTAATAAATGGTCTTGTATTGTTGGATTCCGTAATAGTTTTTTTATTAATTTGTACTCGAGAAGGACAATAGTTTTATATGCCTAATAAATAATCATTAACTGTTTTTTTTGATGGGTGAAAATGGTATGGTAACCCCGCCTGCGCTAACGGGATACGCTGGCGGAGCACCAGTGAAGGGTGATAGATGAGAATGAAAACAGACCAGTCAGCCCATCATGATGAATTCATCAGGAATTAACCATGATAGTTTCCGCGAAGAGGTCGACCTGGTTGGGTATATTGCTAGCAATGGGATTCTCAGTCTCCATTACGAACAATCCCTTTCCCTCCAATCATTAACTGTTATCCATTCATGCCCTGAGTGGAGTTTGCATCAAAAGCATTCTCTACACAATGAAACTGTTTAAAGTGTCTGTTAAAAATAATCATTAACACTAAAACAATCATCCATTCTATGTAACACATATCTTGTGTCAAATTCTGAATCATGCAATGACAAACTATTATTGTAAAATAAAAATATATTTCACTATTTTTAATATTTTTATTTATTTATTGCATTCACAGAATGCAATGTTTTTATACAGGTATAAATCCAGTTCCTTACACGATGCCATGTTGGGTGTGGCGACGTCTTAAATTGTTTGTCATTTGTAAATTCTAAATCTTTAATTATTTATTTATTTTATTATACGTTTTATAACATCAAGTTATTACATAAACAAACATACACATTAACTGAAGTTACACAAATAAGAGCGTAAGTTGATATAACATAGCAAAGTATTTGTTGTAAGATCACATCACTAGTGTATATGGGACATCACTAGAGGTGGACACTGATTGGTTGATTAATAGTTAATTAAATAAACCATCTATTATTAAAAGACTATAAAAATATAACTATATTATTTTTTTATTATTATTTATTATTTATATATAGGGCGTTGTGCCAGTACATACCACGGTTGCTATGCGAAATGGCAAATGCAGTTAAATTTTGGTGATAATTTAAGAAGGATGTTGCTCCCTTAATCGCCTCTTACGACGCCCACGAAAAAGGAAGGGTTGGTCCATTCTATGCCGGGACCACACGGTATATGTTACATTACTTACAGTCTATATAAATTAAAAAAAAAATACTATTTGTACTATTTCTACATATGGTCATATTTGAGGTTACATTTGCCAATTTATTTTTAAATCTGAGATTCTGCTTGTGAATATTACTAGCTTTTCCTAATAAATTTAAAAAAAATATCTTTATTCAAAAAAAAAAGTTAAATGATTTGTGAGTTTCAATGTTCATAAAAATTACAAATTCCAGAATGTAGATGCAGGACAGTATCAATAAATTTATACTTTAATTTACTTTACACATATATTTTAAATACCTATGTTTACATGTAATTTAGTCGAAGCGAACTTTTTGTAAAAACTTAAACTAGTGATTAGAGCACAAAGACTTTTTTATTATGTTTAGGTATATATATATATATATATATATTGTATATTTTTATATTTTGTAAGAAGGATCACAAACATTAATTTATTAACAATCTGTGGTCTGTTACATGTACATATGTAATTTTACTTAAATTTTAATGAACAAATTTTAATCTAGTTTGGTATGCAAAATCTACCGGCTGTTACATGCAATTTTACTCAAGTTCTAATGAACTAATTTTAATTTAGCTTAGTATATAAAATCTGTGGTCTGTTACATATAATTAGACTTAAATTCTAATGAACCAATTTTAATATAGTTTGTTATGAACAATCTATGGACTGTTTTACATATAATTTTACTTAAATTTTAATGAAAAAATTTTAAGTTTTTGCCCTTGATTTCGTACGCGTAGTCTTAAAAAATAGAAATCACAGATTAATCAATAAAATATATGTACCACTTCTAGATGGCATGTATAATCATACATTAGTTGTTAAGTAAGAACACAACATTCGAAACCGTATCCAATTTTGTGCAGTTGCTTTTGCTTGATGCCAGAACAAATATATAGATGGAAAGACTGAAAAAAATTCTAAAAACTTTGATTTCTGTTGCTCTTATTAAGACCCATAAAATATTTTTTTTTTTTTAGTAAATACCACGCATGTACATACATTGTTAAGTTACACTTTAACTAAATTAGTAAGATTAGCAAAATAATATAACCGTCATAAATAATTAAGATATTACGATCACCATCATCATCATCCTCATATCAGCCTTTAACCGTCCACTGCTGAATATAAGCCTCCCCCTTGGTGGGTTTTGCTAGTAGTTGCCACGCTTGGCAGGCGGATTGGCAACCGCAATCAGACTTTAGAGATGTTTTAAGAGGGACGCTGCTGGCCATCCCTCGCCTTTCCTTAGTCGGTTCTTACGACAACAACGGGAGGAAGGGGTGGCCTATAACTATGCCGGGATCACACAGCAATATACGATATTACAAGATATTACGAGACTAATAAATAATTTAATACTTCTTCAATGATTTTGTCTTTCCATTGACGATGCCTCTTCGTCCGTTGTATCTGTTATATATTTCAAAAGACCAGTATTCATTACATTCTCATCAACTATACTGTCTTCTTCATCCCAAGATGGCGGATCATGTTCCTGCCACGTGTCATATGGTTTACTGTCCTCAGTTATATCATTGACATCATTTTCGGTGTCGTCTTTGGCGTCATCTGTTTGCTCTGCATTATTATCTTCCGTATACGATTCATCGTTAGATAAGTCCTTTTTTCTATTTGCTCCATACTCTAATTGTCTTTCAATTCTATCAGCTCGTACTTTCCATTTAATTAGGTTCCTCATTGCCATTAGGTACATCGGTTTCGTGTTCGGTAGTATCTTATAGAGCATTGTGTAGCATGGAATACAAATTTGGCGTAGGAAACCGACCTGTGAATGTAGAAAATATAGATTGAACAGTAAAGAATAACGGATGTAGGTAAATTTCATGTTTTATAATGTTTTTTTTTTTTTTTTTATTTTTTTTTTTTTTTTATACAACTTAGAAGGCAAACAAGCTGACGGCCCACCTGATGGAAAGTGGTAACCGTCGCCTATAGACATGAGCAGTACCATGGACATAACAGATTATACTGTTTCGCCCATGATACCCCCCATGCGCTGCCATTCCTGAGGACTCAGGTGTTATTCCTCTGTACCCAGTAAATTCACGCCATATCCCACTCTTCAAACCGAAACACAGCCATGCAAACACAACTGCTTCACGGTTGAAACACGAATGGGACAGAGGTACCCAAGCAATCGACTTTTGTACAAAGTCTCCCTCTGGTATTTTAGTTACATCTCGCAACTTCGCCCGTGATGTTGAATACCTTATTCAACAAATCAGGTATTAAATGTAATACAGATGTTTCTTATTCGACTGGTAGCTTCAGAGATTAGCGCGTTTAAACAAACTTTTCTTTAGTATTATAGTATCTTAAGTTTTATTACGTTCCATCATCAATTATATTTTCTATTATTATGAATCTAAATAAACCTGAATCAACTATGAAAATATTTCCTAAATTGACCCAACCTAGAATCAAACCCGGGACCTCATTTGAGTAAAGCTCATCATTGCACCACGGAGGTACATAAACAAAATAGTGAGGTATTAACCAAGATACAGCAATCAATTTTTTTTAATAAATATACCTGGCTAGACGGCTGCTCCTCGGGTTTATTTCTGTCCATCATGGCAATAGGTATTCTTCCAGCAGCTAGCTCTTTGTCACCTTGGTCGTAGAACTCCTCAAAGATAACCTTCACGGTCTTGATTTGGACCTCCCAAGGTTTGGCTGAAGCTGATAAATCTGAGGCAGTCATTGATATTGCCAACGCAAGATCTCTGTGGAGGAAAAGTGAACGAAAACATAAATTGTGATGATCATAATCATTCTTAAACTTACTAGAGGCCATCACCATCATTTCAGCCATTATCCGTCCACTGCTGGACATAGGCCTCCTCCATAGACTGCCATAATGAACGGTCCTGAGCCACCTGCGTCCACTGACTCCCCTGCAAAGCATTTAAAGTCGTCACTCCATCTATTAGGGGTTCATCCTACACTGCGTTTGTCCGTACGGGGTCGCCACTCAATAATCTTTCTTCTCAATAGGTTGTCGATTCTTCGAGCTATATAACCAGCCCATTGCCACTTCAGCTTGCTTATCCTTCACTTTCACTCACTTTGTGGCTTTGGTTCTTTTGCGAAAATCTCAATAGCTCTTACTAAAAATGTTAATGTGAATTTTTTTAAATATGTCTGTTACTCGATTAAGCGTAAACGGCTGAACTTATTCGAATGAAATTTGGTACACAGATGGCTTTATTATTTTAACACATTACTTGAGGAGGGGGGGGGATTATTAGTAGTAGGGCAACCACTAGTGACATAATTAGAAGAGGATCATTTGGAATATTGATCAATGAGATTAAACACTGGCCACTGTTATCTGTTATCACAAATTCTACGTTATCTAAATTAACTACCCACTTCTAATTCAGTATCAACTTACTTACTTAATAAATTGGCTATAGCAAATATTTTACATATAACAAAACGCACTATTATTACAACAGGCGTTTAAATTTTTTAATCATGGCTTATTAAAATTAAATGAGAGAGAAAAGAAAGGAATAAAGGAAGAAAACAAAAAGAATTATTTATTATTATTATTGCAACATCAGGTATTAACTGTCCGCTGTTGTACATATACTTCAGAGGGAGACTTTTTACAAAAGTCGATTGCTTGGGTACCTCTGTTCCATTCGCGTTTCAACCGTGAAGGAGTTGTGTTTGCATGGCTGTGTTTCGGTTTGAAGGGTGGGATATAGCGTGAATTTACTGGGTACAGAGGAATGACACCTGAGTCCTCAGGAATGGCAACGCATGGGGGGGTATCATATGCGAAACAGTATACTCTGTTATGTCCATGGTACTACTCATGTCTATAGGCGACGGTTACCACTTTCCATCAGGTGGGCCGTCAGCTTGTTTGCCATTCTAAGTTGTATAAAAAAAAAAGACTTCTCTTATAAAGAGGGAAGGAGGTTGCCAATAGTTGCCATGCTTGGAAGGCGTGTTGGTGACCGCAGTTAAATTATAATGATATTTAAATTTTAATAATGCGAACTACCAATCCCATTGGGGGGAAAGGGATTGTTAGCAATGAATCGAGAGCCCCATTGCTAGCAATATGCCCTGTTAGGTCGACCTCCACGTGGTTCCCCCTGGAAACCATCGTGAACATCAATCATCGTTTTTGAATTCGTCACGATGGGCTAACTGATCTGCTTCGTCCTCACCTATCACTTACTGGTACCCCGCCGGTATATACCGATAGCACGGGTGGGATTACCATTCCATTATCATCCATAAAAAAGCCATTCCTATTTATAGCAATATGCCCTGTCAGGTCGACCTGGTGGACGTGATCTCCCTTACAAACCATCGTGCTGAATTCCAGGTGTATTCATCACGATGGGCTAATTGACCTGCATACATCGTCCCTCACTGATGCTTCGCCGGTGTATACCGATAGCGCAGGCGGGGTTACCATTCCATTATCAATCATTAAAAACAGGCTACGGTAACTGTTTCGAATGGAACGGGCCGTTTGTTTTTTTGTAAAAAAACAAAGGACGTTCCCCTTGATGGGGAAGTGCCTATCATAGCCCATAAACATTTACAACACAAGGGATATAGCTAGTTCGTTGCTGGCCTTTTAAAATTCTATTAACTACTTGCTGCTACCATACTAGTATAAAATGATAAGCAAAAAAAAGTTATTCAAATGATTGTTTAAAAAATAATATTCACCGGTGACTAGGTATATTCCAGTTGAACCGAACACCAGCACTCTCTTTGTAGAGCTCCTTCATCTTCTCCAGGTTTGGGAAGAAGGCAGCCAGATCGGTCGCCAAGATTGCTTGTCGTATGTAGCCCAAAATCACTTTGTACTCCTCGCTCGAGAAGTGAGAGAAAATGTTGTGGCCTTCCTATACATGTAAAAAAAAAACATATTAGATGACAACAGTGATGCATTGTTAGAAAAGAATATAACTTAATTAATTTACTTTAAATTAGAAATAAATATTCAAAGATCTGTTTTAAAAAATCTAAATTGCATTTTCTATCATTTAGGACATGAAAACGGCAAAATATGTTACTGTTTATGTATACTGTTTCGCCCATGATACCCCCCATGCGTTGCCATTCCTCAGAGGACTCAGGTGTTATTCCTCTGTACCCTGTAAATTCACACCATATCCCCCCCCCCCCTTCAAACCGAAACACAGCCATGCAAACACGACTGCTTCACGGTAGAAACACGGGTGGGACAGAGGTACCCAAGCAATCGACTTTTGTACAAAATCTCCCTCTGGTAATATGATACAGATATTATGGCCATCACAGTGCCTCTTAGATATCCATGATGCTGTTTATCCCTGTAAGCGATGATTACTACTTTTCATCAGGCAAGCCCTCAACGTATTTGTTAATCAAGTATCATAAAAAAATAAGCGACCTGCTGCAGAATATTGACAGTGATGTTGAAGTGATGGTGTTCAAGTGTAGACGTTGTGTACATAGCGGCTAATGGCGATGCGGTCTCGCTCATATACTTATTTGTATAGCCACGGTGATCCAAATCATGGCAAAGGCAAGCCACGAATAGAGCTAACCTCTGTACACGAAAAATTGTGATGTGTTAGATTTAATTAAAAAAAAAAAGACAAGGAAAAAATATTTTCTGAAAAAGAAATGATCTGTTTGTTACATTGGTTTAAACTGTAGTACTTGAATTATTGTTAATTATATTTCTTTTGTAGATTAGTATTTACATAAGTTGTTTATTGCATACGCAAATTTAGTTATACATATTCTTTTATGTATGTATGTATCATTCCTTCTGTATAGGCATTCATTATTAGTTGTTATTTTCTTTACTTATTCCAATAATAGAGCGTTCGTGATTTTTTGTTCATCTCAAAGATTATGTTAGGTAGACAATGCTACTAGGATTAAGTCCGCCTTTTGTACCTTATTTTATGTTGGTCAATAAAATTATTTAAATAAATTAATAAGTATTGTTAGTTTAACCAAAATATAAAATTCAATTCAATTTCCACATAGAAATTTAACATATAAATACAGTTTTAATATTGTCCTGAAATCTAAATCCCGCAACGATGCTGTCATAAATTTGTTACAAAGTAACAAATTAAATTTAAATTCACTTAGTCCTTTTTGCTTTACTAAATAGAAATTGGAACTACTTTACTAACCTACATATTCATAATCTGCAGCATTAGTAAGTAAAATATCAACATAGATAATATTAATTTTACAATTTTATTTTTAGACTACACTTTGCAAATAATGAATTTAATTTCATTAAGTACTCGAATATAGTTCTTATATGCAAATCTTTAAATCTCAAAATTTCAATTAAACATTTAACTAAACATTTCACGAATTTCACTTACCATTTTGTAATCAAAACGTCTCCGGATATCATTCTTTAAAATGACATACATAGAGTGAGCAACTGCCCAACCGTGGTCGAAATTATGATAAGGTACTGTCCTATAATTCTTTTTCACAGTCAAGATAAATCTTGTTACGGTCACAATATCAAACTTGGATATATCGAACAGATCGTCGAACATCGTAAGAACTGATTTACATTTTTCAAATTCATTTAATTTGTATGGGTCTAGGGAGAAGTCATTCAATTTTGTATAGTGAGGCTCTTCATCATTGAGTAACGCCTGGACCTCATTCTCCCTGCACGTGCTGTGGTAACTGAGTACCTCCAAAGCAACTCTGTACTTCTGTTCCTTCCTCATTATTCTGTCGTACAGCCGAGCGTGGTGAAGAGCCAATCCAAAGAATGTTGAGAAAATCTCAAAGGCCACTTCATCGTCGTGCCCGAAAGTGTCGTCGTTCCGTTTGTTGACCATTTGGACGACTCCAATCACTTTGCCTTCAACTTTGATTGGCATACATAGGATACTGACAGTTCTGTATCCGGTTGCTTCGTCTACTTCTCTGAAAAATATTTGAACTTATTGGCCATAAAACACGTTAGGGTATAAAAGAAGATCAAAGAGAGACTTTGCACAAAAGTCGTCTTGGGTTATTAACATTACCAATATTTCTGCCACCAAGAAGCTGTAATGTGCTTGTATGCCTATGCTTCAGTTTGAAAGCTCAAATCTACATATACAGTACATGATATGGAGACATATTTATTTATTTATTCATTTAGGCACAGCAACAGTAATACAATTCACATTACATTGACCATAATAAGCTTTATAACTTGGATCTTTATAAATCACAGATTGGAAAAGCAATGCCCGAGGGTTACTCTTTGTGTTACCGTGCATTCTGATAACAAACCCAATATGGATATCAATTTACTGTTTACTGTTCACATCGGTTACCATTTTCTATCAAAACTAAGACTTACCTATTAAATCTATTATCCAAGTACGCATCAGGTATATTCATTGTCTCCCCTGATAATGCCACGTGGCCAGCGATACCTCTATTGATGGGCATCCTTATCTCCTTTTTCTCCATGTCCCTGTCTTGACCTGGTTCATATTTGAGATCGAAAACAGTAGACACTAGTTCAAAGTTCCTATAATCCACCAGGAACAATGAAGCACGATCAGCGTTTACAAGTTTTTGGGCAAATTCCAAGATTCTTTTTATTAACTGATCCAACGATACCATCTCTTCAAATATTGCCCTAAAAGTGATCATAATTATTATTATTACAAAGTGTACTAAACAAAATCTCAGTGATAATGTTTATTATGTTATGTAAGAATTTTCAAAGACGAGTTTCTGAATTCGCCTCTATTTTCTTTGTGTATATATCGAGCAATATTCACTAATTCTGAATCCGTATTTGTAATTATTTTAGTAATCGACAGAGTTTGTTCTGGTGTTGATTATTTATTAATTTTGATAGTGTTGACGTTTAAATTATCTATGATAACATGGCATGCCTTTCCAATATCCAAACAATTAAGAATTATTAAGATCAACTGTCTCGGATTATTGTCGGTTTGCTACTGAAGACGTTTCCTTACAAAAACAAATAAGAGCACCACATTTGTATATGATCAAATACATTGAAGAAAAAAGTTAAAGAGACATGCTTTGTTAAGGTAGACAATCTATAACTGTTTTACTTTTCGAATCAAAATGCTCTTGCCTAGCATTTACTTGTTGACGTATGATGATGCATTCTAAATTCAAATATATTGAGTCTTCATAAAATTCTAATATTGTATACATGAGCATTTTATTCGTTTTAAAATAAGAATAGAAAGATTAAGCATTTGTAAATATTAATTGTGTCTCAATTGAATTAAATTCAATTTGTTTTTTATATGTAGTAAAATCTACTAATGAACTTGAGTAACCTCACTACGTCCAATAGGAAGTCGGACATGTTTCTTTCTCTTTTCTTCTCTTGGTACAGCCCACAGTAGTGTATGGATAAGCTCCCCCACATAAGAAAACACGTGCACAATTCTTCTTCGACATCCGAAAATGAGTCGTCCACTCTCCAAAATTCGATTAGGTATCCCGTTTCACCAGTAGACGTCAGAATCGGTTGATACATGACATGATTGGCATTTTTCTTAAAAGAAAAAAAAAAGAAGTGACTACAGCTTGAATTAACTTAATACTCATTAGGAATTCTGTATGACTGATTACAAAAAAAAGTTATCTTCTTTTTCAACCGACTTTAATTTTCAATTCCTTTTCATATTTTTTTTTTATGTTTGTTTCTCACAGTCATAACTCTGTCAATTCTAAACTGATTTTAAAAATTTCTTTTTTTAAATCACTTTATTAGTTCAATTTTTGAATCAAAACAATTTGTTATGTTACCATTGACGTTTTGTTTTGTGGAGTAAGTATACGATACGATAGTACGAGTGTTCCATAATATTTAAGTATAAATTTCTTTAAAGATTAAAAAGTTTTTAAGAAATCTATCCATATAATATAGACATATGACATCGTTGACGTTCTTGCATTCCTAATGAAGAGAAATAGTTCAATTATATAGTATTTTGTAATATTAAAAAAAAAATAAGAACATTTTCGTTGAATGCTCTCAGTCGACTTGATTTCTTCCAAAATCTTGAACAATTATCAATATATAATAAAAACAATATTAAACAATAAATATAAACCTTTCTATTCAATCAATCTATCTACTGATGAAAACCGCATTAAAATTCGTTGCGTAACTTAAAAAAATCTGATCGTACAGACGGAGGTAAGCGCCATTTTGTTTTATTACTATGCAGAAATATTTACCATATTCTTCAATTTCGACATTTTGAAAAAAGAATCTGGATTCTGCATATGGACGTCTGGTTTGTCCAAGCCGGACAGACGTACGACGTTGCCATTCTTAGCTATTTCCAAAATCAGGGATACATCTGTCATTGCTCGAGTCAGAGTGATGTACGGCCTCTGGGCTGCGCTGAACTGAAATTAACAAATGTTTATCAGCCGACTAAGAAAAAAGAGTTCAGAATCAAGTTGCATTTTTTGTGTTTTTTTTTTATACCACTGAGGTGGCAAACAAGCATACGATGGTAATCAGTTACTGTAGCACTTTCTCTTTAAAATGACTGTATCATTTGGAAACCGATTTGGAAAATTCTTTATTTATCAATCAGGATATACTTTCAAAATGGTCAAGTAGAAATTTTATGCGAATCAGTCCAGTAGTTTAGTTTTTAAAATTAATTTCCTGGTTTTGCCACGATTGGAGGAAGCGAAAGAGGTTTGTTTGAATCGAAGCATTTGGCGTTCCATTGTTTCTGCCTACCCTAATGGGAGACAGGCGCGACATATATCTATCAAAACAATCGTAATTGTTATATATATATATATATATATATATATATATATATATATATATATATATATATATATATATATATATGTATATATATATATAATCGTCTACTACTGAACATAAGCCTCCCCCTTGGGGAGTTCTGCCAGTAGTTGTCACGCTTGGCAGGCGGATTGGCAACCGCAGTCAGGCTTAAGAGATGTTTAAGAGGGACGCTGCTGCCCATTCCTCGCCCTCCCTTAGTCGCCTCTTACGGTACCCACGGGAAAGAAAGGGATTGCTCATTCTATGCTGGGACCACACGGCCAGGTCACGAACTCTATTTATGTACTAAACTTTTAAATCTGTCCAGCGTGGCAGAGATATATTCACTAACAGGGATAAAAAGAAGCCTGTATCCTTCTCTATTCCATATATTTATTTATTTTATTTATTTATTTATTCATTAGTACATATATGTATACATGGCGGACTTAATGCTACAAGCATTCTCTCCCAGTCAACCATAGGAAGGAGTCAGAATACTCGAATGCGGTACTATTAATTATTGATATACATACATACTAAAATTACATATATAAACGAATAAATATATATGAATAACAAATATACTTACACATATATGACATATACTATATTATACACGAAATTGAGAATAAAGTACTTATATTATATAGAGAATAATATATAGTGCTTGTATACAAAATTCCGAGATTGGTTAAGTCGTTAAGATGTTATAAGATGACAAACAAACAAATTTTTACATTTATAATATTAGTAAGGATAAATTAAATTAAAAATTTAAAGTAACTCCCGAAATGCCTGTCCTATATAAGTTGTAGCTAAGAATTATCTAGACCTCGAAAACTTTCATATAAAAAACCGCATCATAATCGGTCCATTGTTAGGAGATACGGCGCCACAAACAGATACACAGATACACAGACAGGTCAAACTTATAATACCTTTTTGCATCGATGGTTAATTAGTAAGGACTTACTAACAATTATCAGAGTATTGACTAACAAATATCGAACCTGCAGACTGCCAAAAGCATAATTTAGACTTACCTTGGTGTAGTCAAATACAAAATACTGCACGACTTCTGGATGATCGGGTGATAGTTTAAAAATACGGTAAGTGTCGACTCCAATTACGTTGGCAATCTTTGTTGCCAACTCCACAAGTAGATCCTGTTCCGAGAGATCGTTCTGTAGAATATGGCGCAACTCCTGAAATCAGAGGGACACATTCTATAAGAGTACCAGGATATTTTTTTAATAGATGATAATAGAATGGTAACCCCACCTGCGCTATCGGTATACACTGGCGGGGCACTAGTGAGAGATGATAGGTGAGGATGAAAATGCAAGGTCAGTTAGCCCATCGTGATGTATAAACTTGGAATTCAGCACGATAGTTTCCAGAGGGGGCCACGTGGAGGTCGACCTAACTCAGTACATTGATAGCAATGCTACTGGTAGTTTACATTACTTACAATCCCCTTCCCTCCTTCCGCATTCGCAGGCAACTGTCTATAGTATAAATTTGCCATCAGATGTGATCTGTTTGTGTATCATTTACCAGAGGGAGACTTTGTACAAAAGTCGATTGCTTAAGTCGAAGCAATTGTGTTTGCATGGCTGTGTTTCGGTTTGAAGGATGGAATATGGCGTGAATTTACTGGGTACGAAGGAATAACACCTGAGTCCTCAGGAATGGCAACGCATGGGGGGTATCAAGGGCGAAACAGTATACTCTGTTATGTCCATGGTACTGCTCGTGTCTATAGGCGACGGTTACCACTTTCCGTCAGGTGAGCCGTCAGCTTGTTTGCCATTCTAAGTTGTATAAAAAAAGAAAATTCCAAGCAACTGAAAATTACAAATTCTTACCGCAAAAATCTGCTTTCTTGAGTTCACCAACTTATACTTGTGTTTAGGCTTTTGCCTGCTTTCTAATGAAATGATCTGAAAAATATTAGAAAATATTAATAAGCTGTATACCTACTTTTATTAACTGAAACACTAATGTAATAACAGTACGAATCCTTTATTGGCAAGAATTTATAACTTTAAGTCCAGCTTGCGGTTCCAAAATCGAATTTCATCTCGCGCCCCAAATTATCATATAAAACATTGGCATTCGATAAGTCACTTTAGAATTATATTTTTGACACCAGATGGCGCCAGTTCTTGGATACGAGATCAACGTTACACCTTATCCTTTGTACATTGCTAAACCACGATACATACATACATACATATCTGTCACGCCTGTCTCCCATTAGGGTAGGCAAAAACAATGGAACGCCAAATGATTCGATTCAAACAAATCTCTTTCGCTTCTTCCACCATCATCAATCTTTTCATACACTCTCGCCGATTACGGGTACGTAAACCACGATCTCTCTGGTATTTCGTTACAAAGATCCTACGCCACTTGTAACCAGCGACACCCTGCGACACCTTTGAGATCGTCACTTGTGGGAGATCGTCGACACTCCGATTGCCTGGATGTGGTCTCTGTTTGACGGTCCACGACCTTTTATCATTGTCACGTAACGTTCCATTGAATTCCAGTTAGGAAAGCTCTTAATTGATATGTGTGTATTGTAATTCGACTCGTATTATAAATTAACTGATGCCCGCGACTTTGTCCGGTATTTTTTATTCATGTTTAGTATGTATCGATGTATGTACTTATCTATTTATTATGTCTGGGAATACTGGACCAAAACTAACAAATGACGTGTCGTTCTCACTCTTTGCCTAAGGTCAAAATGACTTTACTTAAGTAGGGTGTGTATTAAGCTGTATAAGTTACTATAGTTTTTTAACTATTCCACGGGAACTTTTTAATTTTCCGCGATGAAAAGTATCTAAAATGTTGACTAGGAATGTGAGCTACTACGATGCAAAATTTCATTTTAATCGGTACAACAGTTTCGGAGATTAGCCCGTACAAACAGACAAACTCTGTGTAGAAACAAAAAATTTGAAAAAATCTGAATGATTTCTATTTCACTTCTAAAATCCTTCTGACTCGGTTTTTAGCGGTTTTTTTTTTATTACGTACAGACATTCGACCTCTACAGTTTTATTATATATATATATAGAGTATTATAAATTATTAATGTGTAAAACATACTTACGCTAGGTGATTTCAATTTATGATGTAACCAATTCTCAATATCCTCGGCAGGCACGCACTCGGCGACGTAACTCTCCAGGAATCGTTTGTGGCGATTTAGATAATTCGTTATTATAATCTCTTCCTCATCTGAACACAGATTAACCATAATAATTACCAGAGGGAGACTTTGTACAAAAGTCGATTGCTTGGGTACCTCTGTCCCATTCGCGTTTCAACCGTGAAGTAGTTGTGTTTGCATGGCTGTGTTTCGGTTTGAAGGGTGGGATATGGCGTGAATTTACTGGGTACAGAGGAATGACACCTGAGTCCTCAGGAATGGCAACGCATGGGGGGTATCTTGGGCGAAACAGTATACTCTGTAATGTCCATGGTACTGCTCGTGTCTATAGGCGACGGTTACCACTTTACATCAGGTGGACCGTCAGCTTGTTTGCCATTCTAAGTTGTATAAAAAAAATTGAAAAAAGAATTAATAATAATGAAAAATATCGATGTTTTACTGACATTTTTACACGTACATTTTTCATGCCATTATTTAGGCAAAACATGTATGTATATTTATAACAAGTTACTATTTTCCTCTGAATTCGTATACTATGCTTTACGTATAATTATTAACAAATACTTGCCTTTGTAATGATCATTTCGAACTTTTGGAGGAATATTATTCTTGCCTGAAACAAAACAAGTATATATCAAATTGTATACAGTTTATGCCCAAAAGTAATAAGAAAAAAAATAATTAAAGAATGTGTCCCACAAAAACCTGATAAATGGCGTAAAATGTCAAATTTCATAACAATGATGCCATTGACGCGTCAAAAAATAAGACAAACAATCTATTTTTTATGCAACTTAAAATGGCAAACTAGCTGACGGCCCACCTGATGGAAAGTGGTAACCGTCGCCTATAGACATGAGCAGTACCATGGACATACCAGAGTATTCTATTTATATATATATATAGTATATTTCACCCATGATACCCCCCATGCGTTGCCATTTGTGCCAATTGTAACAAACCCAGTTATTTTGGTTTAAAAGTTAAACTACTGGACTGATTTTGATGAAATTTCTATTAAACTAATCTGCAAGTATATCCTTTTAGATAAAAAAGAATTATCCAAATCGGTTTAGAACTAAAGGAGTTATGATGTAACAAACATAACAAATAAAAATAATGCAACCGAATTGAAAACTCCTCTCTTTTTTAAATCAGTTGAAAATATGATATGTTTAGTAACAAAACAAACAAACAAACAAACAAATTATCAAGTACCTTTCTTCTCTTGACTCCTCACAGCGGACCAGTCCATGAACGCAGAGCTTCTGGCCATGCAGCCGCGATGGTACCGAGACCAGAACCTCTCTGTAGACGCCCTCAAAGGATCAACAGGAGAACGGATACCTGTAAAATTGATATTTCAAGATTTACTTCCAGTTTTAAAAATAAATATGCGTTATAAGTAAATAATTATGTCACATATTTTTCACCACATCTGAATTAACAATGATGATTGATGTTTGATATTGTTTTTCGAAAATTCTGTCTACTCGCGCGACGCCGGGTCGGATCGCTAGTATAGAAGAATATATGATATTTGTTTCTTTTTTCGATCTGTATTTGCAATTGGCTGCAAGGGTGAGTGCTGAACGCACTGCAAGCCCGCGAGAGAAGACCAGAGTGTCGACTCTTACCAATGGATTTTCATATTTGTTTATGTCACTTTTTTTCGCAAAATTTCGCATTTATGAATCACAAATTGGTATAAAAAATTCATAATTTAAGATTTAACAAAAAAACCGACTTCATTTGTGGAGAAACCAAATATTTTAATTAAAAAAACCAAACTACTGTAGCGGTTTTGATAAAATTTCTATAGAAAGGAACTAATCTCCCATATTTAGAACTAACAAAATTTTTCATCGTGCCTCCCATCAAATTGTTTATAATTACTCCTCTCCATCCAAAGGTTGCCTGGAAGAGATCGCTCTTAGCGATAAGGTCGCCCATTGTTCTCTCATTGTGATTATTTCTTGTAATTGTTTATATTTATAATAAGTTTACTATTGTAATCTTTTGGAGGAAACAATAAAGAGTATCTATCTATCTATCTAATTTGTAAGTATATCCTATCAAAAAAAAAAAAGAGTTTTCCAAACCAGTTTAAAATATACGGAGGTAACAAACATAAAAACAAAATACAACGTAATTGAGAGGGGGGAAAGGGATTGTTAGTAATGAAGACTAAGAATCCCATTGCTAACAATATACCCAATCAGGTCGACGTCCTCGCAGTTCCCCCTGAAAACTATCATGGTTAATTCCTGATGAATTCATCATGATGGGCTAACTGGCCTGTTTTCATTCTCATCTATCACCCTTTACTGATGCTCTGCCAGCGTATCCCGTTAGCGCAGGCGGGGTACTATACCATTTTCACCCATCAAAAAAAAACTAATCGAGCATCTTCTTCTTTTAGAAGTCAGTTATAATTCGAGCACCAGAATTAATCATGTTTTGACCAAAAAAAAATTTGAAGCATAGATTATTAATATTAATTTTAAGCTGTCATCTAACCTGAAGATAGAGCTGCTTCTCCATTCAAGATCGATGGTAGGAGTCTTGGAGATCGAGTCTCCGGTGTCCGGCCAGCGGACTGCATTCCGCGCGGGAACCGCGAAGTTAACTGTAACACAAAATGCAGTTTTATTTATTTATTTAGTTTTTTTATTTATAAAAATAACCGCAAATTTGCAGTCAAAAGTAATAATAACCGACAATTTTTAGTCAAAAGTACTTTTGACTGATTTTGCTAGTCATTCTGCACCATGGTGGACCGTCAGTTTGTTTGCCATTCTAAGTTGTATAAAAAAAAATGAAACGACAAGTTTATTATACAACAAAAACATATGATGCTTTCATAAGTTAAAAAAAAACAATTATTTTTGTTTAAAACCTAAACTACTGAATCGATGTTTTTTTTTGATGGGTGAAAATGGTATGGTAACCCCGCCTGCGCTAACGGGATACGCTGGCGGGACACCAGTGAAGGGTGATAGATGAGAATGAAAACAGGCCAGTTAGCCCATCATGACGAATTCATCAGGAATTAACCATGATAGTTTCCAGGGGGAACCGCGAGGAGATCGACCTGGTTCGGTATATTGCTAGCAATGGGATTCTCAGTCTCCATTACTAACAATCCCTTGCCCCCCATTGAACCGATGTTGATTTTTTTTTAATTTTTTTATACAACCTAGAATAGCAAACAAGCTGACGGCCCACCTGATGGAAAGTGGTAACCGTCGCCTATAGACATGAGCAGTACCATGGACATAACAGAGTATACTGTTTCGCCCATGAATAAATCATTTACAGCAATCAATCTGAAGGTACATTTTTTCAAGTAAACAAGAATCGTCTCTGAAACGACGGGGTTGCTAGGCAACAATTACAAGGAAATATTCACAACTGTATTCGGCCTTTCTATGGGCTACGATCTTATTATAATGATTCGATACGCTTTATCAGTTTTCAATTTTTCTTTTATTGTATTGACGTCATAATTTTCACATGAAAGTTTATTTGTGGTCGTTTGAAATTACCTCAAAGCCCCGCAAGTGTAAATGGGCTTCGGCCCTCCTATAATATTTCGGTCGATTATTGTAAAAACGAGATTGTTTACTTGTTTTCGGTATAGGTGTTTATCAACGGTGAACACAGTCGACAATTCATATTGAATTTTTTTTTTTACAACACAGGGGGCAAACGAGCATGCGGCTCACCTGATGGTAAGTGACTACCGCCGCCCATGGTCACCCACAATACCTACGGCATTGCAGGTGTGCTGCCGGCCTTTTAAAAGGGAACTTCATTACGATTCAGTAATTCGATGATTACTTTATTACTTGTACTTTTGAACATACATACATACGTACATTTTGGTTGGCAAATTGCAAAAGTTTTTGCATTGACAGAAATGATATATTAAAAAAAAAACTATTTAAAAAATATACCTTCTTGTTTATATAACTTAGAATGGCAAACAAGCTGACGGTCCACCTAATGGAAAGTGGTAACCGTCACCTACAGATATGAGCGGTACCATGGACATAACAGAGTGTACTGTTTCACCCATGATACTCCCCATGCGTTGCCATTCCTGAGGACTAAAGTGTTATTCTTCTGTACCCTGTAATTTCAGTGCCATGTCCCATCTTTTCAATCCAAACACAGTTGTGCAAACACAACTGCTTGACGGTAGAAACACGAATGGAACAGAGGTACCCATTGAATTCGTCACAATGGGCTAACTGATCTGCCTTTTCATCCTCACCTATAACCTCTCACTGGTACTCCGTCAGTGTATACCGATAGCGAAAGCAGGGCCATGCCATTTTCACCCATAAAAAATTTGATTGTATTTTTTTTCTTTTGAACCGAAGCATTTGGCGTTCCATTGCTTATGCCTACCCTAATGGGAGACAGGTGTGACAAATATGTATGTATGTAAGTTTATTACTTGCTAACTCTGTGAATATTTGTAAATCGAATTGAATTTTTTTTATCTTATAGACTAGTTCTATAGAAAATGTATCAAAATCGAATTATAATTTAATTTCTGAATCAAAATAACTAGTTTTTCCACAATTGAAGGCGTTTTTTTATTGAATACAATTTAATTGCTAGGGAAGAATTTGTTTGGAGACACCCCACTTTTATAATTTAAGGGTGCGACCCAATCGATTGAGTATTGCAGATTCTACCATTGGTTGTAAAGGATTAATTATTTCTAAGTTTGCACACGGACCCCTAAAAGTGAACCCTTCCAAATAGAGAGGACAGGGTATAAATTGATTATAACGAAAACTCATTAATCCCGCGACTTCATTCGTGTTTACCCAATAACAAAAAAGCCCTCGACAAAATTACATTAAACATCATAAATACTTTTTGCGCCATCTGTTATCGATTAATGTCACTACATTAATCGATGATGAAAGATGACTATAAGTGTAGTGGAACTATTTGACAATTGACGAGTTTGGAAAAAATAACAATACAGCCGATTTGGAGATAAGTTGGCCCATGTTTAACATAATAGGTTATTTAAATCTTATCAGGAGGATGCAAGCGTTTTTACGTTAAATGCTTACTCACTTACATCAATATACAAACTGCGTTTAGTGGGGGAAAGGGGATTGTTAGTAATACGAACAACCAGTCCCATTGCTAACAATCTACCCTATCAAGTTCACCTTCACGCGGTCCTTCTGAAAAAACGCTGTATGCTCTACGTGATATGTACAATAATATTTTTAAGATTATGTTGGGACTTCCAAGCTCTTGTAGTGCTTCAGAAATGTTGGCACAAGCACGGATTGATGGTTTCCATGCCATCACTCGTAAGAAAGTAGCGTCAATAGTGAAAAGAGTGTGAGGGAGTGACAACGCTATTCTTAAGATAATAGTTGAGTCCATGCATCTGTGATAGGGCATCCCGTTGGGACGATGACTAAAACACATTTTTTTTTATACATCTTACAATGGCAAACAAGCTGACGGTCCACCTGATGGAAAGTGCTAACCGTCGCCTATAAACATGAGCAGTACCATGGACATAACAGAGTATACTATTTCGCCCATGATACCCCCATGCGTTGCCATTCCTGAGGACTCAGTTGTTATTCCTCTGTACCCAGTAAATTCACGCCATATCCCACCCTTCAAATCGAAACACAGCCATGCAAACACAACTGCTTCACGGTTGAAACACGAATGGGACAAAGGTACCCAAACAATCGAATTTTGTACAAAGTCTCCCTCTAAAATAACTATGCCCCGGTTATTGTCGCCCTGACCGAACGTCTTTCTTTAGGTGTATGATTTAATAAATTATAACCACGTAATTTTAAATCTACTATTAACAAAATGGATCTTGTTCTCTGAAATTAAATACATTTGAATTTTCTGAAATCTACTAAATATATCTAAATATCTAAATAACAACTCGTATCAGAATGTAATTGGCGATTTAGAAAAAATAATCGGTGAAACAGACAGACGTCGACAGCGACTTAGTTTTATATTGTTAAGAGATGACGAATATTGCGGTCATTAAGCGACTAGTGTAGTGGGGCAATCAATTCGACAGTTTGTACAAATATTTATTGACATCACCCTGAACTCGCGGTCCCCCTAATACATTACACTGAATTAATATTTTAATCGCTTAAAACCTTTGTTGAAGGCAAATAAAGTTGTATGGCCATTCTTCATTACCAATATTTGTCACGCGATGTTATCAACCGACTCCAAAATGAGAGATTTTCTTTAATTCGTTTGTTTTTTTTTTTTATTTTCACATTTATTACCTCGTAACTCTGTTATTTATGAACCGATTTGGAAAATTATTTTTTATCTGTAAGAATATACTTAGTTTTAGTTTTGGTTTAGTTTTAAAATTTTATTTTTTATGTTGTTTCAAATTATTTAGTAGTTGATTTAAAAAACTAAATTACCGAATTGATTTTTAAAAAATATGTATAAGACCAATCTGTAAGTACATCCTTTCAGATAAAAAAATCCAAATATGTTCATAATTGACAGAGTTACGAGATAATGAATATAAAAAAAAATACAGCTGAAATGAGAACCTCGTCATCGATTAAAAATATGGGTTCAGTTCATATTTTATAAAATATATTAATTTAACTAAATATCGTATAATCTATATAATAAAGTCGATTGCTTGGGTACCTCTGTCCCATTCGTGTTTCTACCGCGAAGCTGTTGTGTTCGCATTGCTGCATTTCAGTTTGAAGGGTGGGATATGGCAGGTAAATTTACAGGGTACAGAGGAATAACACCTGTGTCCTCAGGAATGACAACGCATGGGAGGTATCATGGGCGAAACAGTGTACTCTGTTATGTCCATGGTACTGTTCATGTCTATAGGCGACGGTTACCACTTTCCATCAAATGGACCGTCAGCTTGTTTGCCATTCTAAGTTGTATAAAAAAAAATTTAAAAAGAATCACTAAATGTATTGTTGAGCGCAAAACTCGAAAACGATTAAATTAAATCGGCTATTCAAATCTCGTTAAAGTTAAGAAAGGTTCTCATGAAGGGAAAAATTTAATAAACTTTTTCACGCAAACGCAAACAGTTCTTAGCTGTCAATTCAAGCATATCAATTTTTCAGATGTGCATTGTTTGTTCCAGCTTGACAGATAGGATCGTTTTTATCCTGTTAATTAGAAATAGAGCCAGAAGATGGCGCTAGGGGGCACAACAACGATTTCCGGATCAGAAAGTTATGATTACATTCTCACTTATTATTATTAGATATAAACCAATCAAATATAACTGCAGTTCGACAATTTTCCTGTCCAGTTAACTTAAACCAAGTTTTAATTGACCGATCGCTTGGGTGTTGTTGATTTGAGACGATAATTTAACCTACTCCAGTAGGAAGGGAGAGGACAGCCAATTTTCAACTTTTAATTGTATCTGCGTTCCCCTATATGTTTAATATTCCCTATGGATTTAATGGGAATGTATAAATACAATTATCTGTTACATGTCAGGTTCAGTGTCAATTCGATTTCAAATCATATGGTCGTGTCGCTCTTGTGCTCCAGTTCGTACTTAGGTAAAAGACATACCAAATTAGTTAACGCGCT